AAAATTTTCATTTATATATCCGTTTTCAAAGCAAATAATCAGTTTCAGCGCATTCTCAAGATTTTTTTCTTTTCGATGAAAGCAAAAGGATGCACTAGAGATTTTGCTGATTTGATCACTAGTTAACTAGAGTAGTCATAATCAAAAACTGCCGTATTTTCGATTTTTAACGAATGTAGCGTAGTCGACTCGGACTTTAATACTTGGCAATCTTCAAGTGCTATAGTGCTTTGAACTAATATGATTCTGAAATTGTTTTAGCTACGAAATTTTGACATTCTGAAATTCGCGATTTCTGTAATTTACGCAGTTTACGCATTCCAGAATTCTCAAGTTCTGAAATTCTTTTAGTCCGAAAATTCTGACAATCTACAATTCCACGAATTTCACAATGTCAGAATTTTGGAGCTAAAGAATTGCAGAATAGTATTAGTTCGAACCACCATAACATTCAAAGATTGTCAGGTATTAAAGTTTTTTGATTACGGCTGTTCTAGTTAACTTGTGAGAAAATCAGGAAACTTTTGCTTTTGCTTGAATGAAAAGAAACGAATATGTAAATACATACATATGTGTAACTGGTATTTATGGAGAAGGACCTTTTAGAGAACGGAATTAGGGCTAAAACTAGAACTGTTACCAATTTATGGTCGAATTCGAGATGATTGGAGAACGGTCAGAATTATAAAAACGCAAAAGCCGAAAGGTGAACGATTTAGAATTCCCAGCTCAAAAGAATGAAAAGAGAACGATCTTATGTGCGAATAGTGGATTATGATCTATATATATTTTGCACCATCTGCGAAAAAATATTGTACAAAAAATGTGTAAATATATATTATACTCCAAAAAAGCAGAGCGCAACCAAATTTGTCTGGTCTATTACGCTTTTTTGGTGCTGAAGATATACGATCTATCGAATACTCATTATTGGATTTGATGTAGGAACATCGTTTCAAAAATAATCCATGAAATTGGAGTTGCATATTTTATAACACTTTGAGGCCATCTTAATGTTAATGGTAAAAAATATCTTTCAAAACCGTTCTCTTTTCAGTCCCGTTCTCTAAACAGCGGAAAAATTTCATAATTCGTACTCCGTTCTCCATTCTCTTTTCATACTTTTTTCGATGTTTATAAACAGAAAGAATACAGTTCAGCTTTAAATTGTGTAAATAATAATAAAAAAACGAAAATTTGTTCTATTCTGTGTATAGAAATCTATCCGATTTCTTTCATTCAGCAAAAGAAAAAGGAAGAAGAACGATATTCGTCTATATCTATGCGCAGATTTATTTCTGATGGCTTCCCTTAGCCATCGAAAGTATTGCAGCTACAGGAAAAAAAACCTGTGGGATCAAAAAACTTTTAAAAGCGGCCGGTCAGAGCCGGACTTGGTGAGGAAACATTCGTCATCGAATCGGGCGAAAAGTTTTTGGCCGGTGCGGATCTCTAGAAGAGATAGGAAATCCCGAAAAACGACCCGAATATTTGACCCTAACCCTTACCTTCTAGTGAAATGTTCGAGCCTCAATATCTCAAGGCAGGAAAATTCATTAGCATCAAATATTTTTCCGTCGTACTACTATTACCGTGGGCTACAAGTGCGGCAAGTTTGAAATCAAAATTCGGAAGTCGGATTTTGCTCGAAATCCAAGCTCTATAGGCAAAAACTGACTAAAAATCCAGTACTCAGCAATAGCACCACGGGCACAAACTAACTTAGAGTATTTCACTACTCACTGAGATCTACAATATAACAGTAGTCTGAGTTCAAAATCGATTTATAAGTTCAAGAGGTTCCCTCGTCAGTTTGTTACATTACTATTATTAAACTTTGTCGTATAATTGTTGAAAATGACCATAAAGATCGAAAATTCCAATAAAGAAAGAAAATGTTTAAAGATGCAATTGTCTTATCTTTCATGTTGGAATATTGATTTTTAGGTGCAATTTAATTTATCGTTTTCAACAGTGTTCTTAACTTTTTAGTTTTAATGTTTAAATCATATAGTTCTTTGTGAGTATCATCTGCGCGTACTTACTGTGATCCGCTTCATCTGGATTTGTCATTTGTTGCGCACTTCTTAATTCATCGTTAATCCATAATTCTTGTTTTTGACGAGTGACACGGAAAACCCAAATCTTAGAAAACCAAGTTCCTCTGTTCGATCTAGAAATCCTTCGCAAATAACTTCGTCATATAGAGCAAACATTTCTGAACAAAATAAGACGCCTTGCTGTTTGGATCTTTCGTAAATTGAATGGTGCTTCATGAAAAAGTATCACAGAGGGCCCGACGACGTCTCATTTTGTTCAGAGATGTTTTCTCTATATGACAAAGTTATTTGAGAAGAATTTCTGGTATGAATTGGTTAATTCATGGCAAAAAACTGATTGATGACGAAAATAAGCATTTCGCCGAATGAAAATACCCGTTCGGCATCCTACAAAACTAATTTTGATATTTCATAAAGACATTCATGTGAGACTCATTCACGAGATTTGATAAAGCTAGTGTGCATGGATAGAAAGTTGACGATTAGGAAGGAGATGAATACTGCCGAGTAAGAAACAAAAAACTGCACAGTGGATCCGACTGAAACCTTAAACAGCTGTCAAGGGTTAACTGAGACTTAAAAAAGAATTTTGAAGGTATGTTTGAAAAGGTTGAATTTCTCGAACGAAACCGTTAAAAATGTCCTGTTCTCACCCCAAATATCCGAATATCATATTTTTCCTTCCTTTTTTCTCCGAATATCATATGTCTTTCCTAAGGAGGGACATTACTTACGTTATTTTCTCTTTTTCCTCAGGTCCATGGTTACGACTGTCGTAAACAGTCCTATACGACAACATACTACAGTATACGGTCGAGAATCTTTGACCTGGGTCTTTTCAAATAGCAGGCAATATTTCAGATTTTCCAGCACTATTTGGAGAGGATTTGATCAGAAAACGGTCCCTCATTTTTTTGCCTTACTTTGACTGGACTTTTGTCGAAAACACATTTGCACACATTGCCCAGTTATTCTTATGGTAAAAGAGCTCAGAATATGTTTTTAACCTCGGTTGTTTTGAGATTCCATCAGAGAACATCGTTCTTAGAAAAAAGAAAATTTTTGAAAAATCCAGTATAGGTTTTCCACAAATCTTGATATGAAAAGATAGGCAGTGAAAGACTGAATAAAATACTCTATGAACAATCCTTATACATCATTTCAATATGAAGAAAGGTTCTACAAGAGACAAATTGCACTTAAAAAGACAATATCACCGATATTCTGTACTTTTTTCTCCACATAAAAACAATGATCCGACTTGTATTTGATGTAGAAAAATACCCACTGAAAAACTGAATAAAATGGTATATGAACCATAGTTACGTACCATATTACTAAAGAGAAATGGTTTATTTTCAAGCATTCCCTATCTAGTGACTATGCTTGAGTGATCATATTTTCCCATTTTCTCCCAAAAGCAAGAGAGAACGCAACTAGTCTTTAGTATAGAAAAATAGCTCTTGGAAAGCTGTACAATATTTTGAGTGAACAAACTCTACATACCATTAGCTCACTCCATTATAATTTAAATACGAGAAAAATCAAGGAAATGCACTCATATTTCGCAGTTTTCACCATCAATTTCAATTTTTTCTAAAAACCAACATCATATTTGGAATCCCTGTTGAAAACTGCATTGAACAATGTTGAAACCATTGAATAATTTCTCTCGGAATTTTTAGACAACTCTGAGTTTGGAGCTAAACTCTGGGCGAGAAAATTCGAAAAAAAACATTTTATTCAGTTTTTCAGTGGGTATTTCTATATCAGATACAAGTTGCATCCTCGTTTGCATATGGCGAGAAAAGTGCTTAAAACATACGTGAAACCGCGTTTCAGGTCAATTTGTCTGTTGTAAAAATAGTTTCTTCTTATTGAAATGATGTATAAGGATTGTTCATAGAGTATTTTATTCAGTCTTTCACTGACTATCTTTAAGGACCAGTTAATACCATAAATTTTGCCAAAACTTTACAAGTGCATCACATTTGGTTACTTCATGGCAAAAAAGTAATTTGGTAATGAAAATAGGCATAAAAACTAAGCGTAAAAAACCTGCGTCGAAAATAATAGTAAAGAATCGGTATCTTAAAAACCAAAAGGGTTTTTAAAAAGCACAAAAGTCAATTTGGCATCTTGTAATATCCTTTTCATTACTTTAAAATACCCTTCTGGGCATTTCTAAAAAATCATCCGTATCCTATAGAACCAAAAGAGTATTTTAAGAATGAAAATACCCTTTCGGCATCCTACAGAACCAGTTTTGGTATTTCTCGAAAAAGGTATCTCGTATTGACGAAAAAACTGTTTTAGTATTTTGGGATACCAATCGTTTGTAACCTACTAAACTCTTCTTGGGATCCTAATGGAAATAAAATACGCTCTAAAGGTATTCTCAAAGGTGAAATACCCTTTTCCAAAGGAAAAATCCTTTAGTTTTGTAGAGTACCGTTTAGCAGCAACCGGGATACCAATTTTGGTTTTTTGGCATCTGACACAAAATCAAAGTGAGTTTCGTGGACAGAACGAAATAACCTTTTGGTTTTTTAAAATACGTTTTTTTAGAGAGCAGCTGGATGCATCTGCTAAATTTTACTCTTTTAGCTAGCTAATGGAGATGGGGAAGCTTCTTCAGCAAGAACAGCTAGCTTATTTCTTATGAAATTTCATGCTTGGGAAGCTTCGTCCTTTGTTTAATCAAACGTGAATAACTCCATACACACATACACATATATTTTTCATAATTGCATTAAATCGTTCTCTTACTCATCTTTATCAAACCACGTTTCTCTTTCCTTGTCTTATTGCTGTGTGTAGCTTGTACAGATAATTACGTTGTTTTTTGTCACTCTGAAGACTATTTGAATAAAGATGTATTCTGTTAAAGGTTAGATTGACATTCTGCTGTTGACGAATAATATTTAACACAGTAGAGAAATGGCACAATCCGTTCAAAATCTATCTGTGTTAACTGCAAGCACTTCAACATCAACCATCGTACCAATAACCATAGTTTACAATACGGGTGATAATGCATGGATGATGGTTAGTACTGCATTGGTATTGATGATGACACCAGCTCTGGCATTTTTCTACGGCGGTATGGTACATAATAAAAATATATTAAATCAACTTTTTCTATCAATCATATGTATGGGAATTGTCTTCTGTCAATGGGTGCTGTTCGGATTTTCATTTGCATTCGGGTAAGTACTAAGTCGATGGGGATAAAGAATACGGAAAACATTGAAAAATGATCGATATTTTTGTTTGTTTAAAGGCCAGCAGTTAGCAAAGGATTTGGATCATTTAAATGGGCGTGTATGTTATTCGGAGAAGGTGATAATTTAGGCAAGTAGATAGTCGTAGGAAACATTATGCAAGAAAGAACTGCTAGTTAGCGTTACTTTTTCAATCGTCTTTTTTTTAGTGTATGCACCAACATATCCTTTGCTGACATTTGCTTCATACCAGGGTATGGACCTTTAAAAAGATACTAATAAAAAATTAAAGACTTCTTTTTTTTCTTGTTTTTGCAAGGTACATTTGCTATCATCACACCGGCCTTGATCAGTGGTAGGTGTACTTCTATTCTTCAACAAAGAAAGCGTGCTGTTCTTTAAATAAGCCATTATTTTTTAGGCGCAGTTGCCGGACGAATGAAATTAATTCCCTATATGATATTTATCTTTGTATGGTAGATATACAGTAACAATTCTTGCGAATCACCTACTGGTACTTATGTTTAGTGTTTTATTGTAGGACAACAGTTTGCTATGACCCACTAGCACACTGGGTATGGGGTGATAATGGATGGCTAAAACTATTGGGTACTTTAGATTTTGCAGGTGGTACGGTAGTACACATCTCCAGCGGAATCTCGGGTTTTGTAGCGAGTATAATACTGGGAAAACGATATGATGTGGGTTCACATGGTCAGGCACATAACCTACCATTTACAGTACTTGGCACATCACTTCTGTGGGTATGTATGTAAAAAATAGGTCACTGCAGAAAGTGTATGAGAGTGTCCTCTGCGTGTCTTTTCTTGGGTGGGATGGGTCTGTTAAAAAGACAAATCTTTGTATGACGCTGCGTTTGAGACGAAGAAGGCAGGCCGGTTACTCATTAACCTGTAAAAAAAGAAAGCTGCTGCTTTCTGTGTTTTTTTCTTTCATAAAGCCCTTTCTTTTACGATTTGTTAATGGTAAGAGAAAAGTATACAAATTATTTTGTAGGTGGGTTGGATGGGTTTCAATGCAGGTTCTGCCGGTAATGCCAGTGGATTGGCTGCTCTAGCAATGATGAATTCAAATGCTGCTGCAGCAGCCGGTCTAATGACATGGGTGATCATTGATGCCATACGCGGTTCGATATCGATTAGCGGTGCTTGTGCTGGTCCGATTGTCGGATTAGTAGCCATTACTCCGGCATGTGGATTTGTTCAGCCTGGATGGGCACTTCTCATTGGTGTTATTGGTACCTTGGTTGTCTACAGTGGACTGCAAGTGAAAAAATATATTGGAGTTGACGATGCATTGGATTGTATGTTCGTTCATGGAATTGGAGGAATCGCGGGTGCATTCGTGACAGGATTGTTTTGTCAAGCGCGTGTGAATTCGGGTGGGGCAGATGGTGCATTCTACGGACGACCAATTCAATTGTGGTATCAAATAGCAGGAATTCTAACGACGATCGGTAAGATATTTTGCCTACACTTTGTTATTGTCATATAAATTTTTGTACGTTTATTATAGCTTTTGCGGGACTCTGTACGGCTGGTATTCTACTACCAATGAAGTATACGATTGGTATTCGATTAGACCGAGAAGACGAAGTACTTGGACTTGATCATACAGGTATTTAAAACGTAACTTATCTTGCAACAGTTTAAATGACATACATATCTAACTCTTTAACATTTGATCTTCTACAGCTCATGGCGAAAGTTGGGAAGCTGCAGAACCTGGTGTACGTGGTTCCATATCAAAAGTCGAAGATGTAGAAGTTGGTGAGGATGGTATCATACAATTTTCAGCTACAATGTCTGTCCTTCAGCAGATTATGCCAAATTTTCGACCACAATTACGTGTTGCGGATGGAAATTTGAAGCAGCAACCACCACGATTATCAATACAAAAAGTGGATTATTCGAATGGTGGTACAGGATTTGTATTGGTACCTGAAACGTCATCACGCGCATCAAACGGCAATATTATCAGCAAACTTTGATTTAAATTTGCTACAAGTGATACTTAGCAATTATATTGATTTAGTCCAGTTGTAAATTGTCTATTTTTTTTCCAAATTGATGATGGTTGCTAAGATATTGTATTCATCTATTACACGTATTATTCTTCATTGCACAAGAGAAACGTAGCTTATTTAAATTGACTTTTAGACTTGCATTCATTCTCAATTTCAAGTTGCATAGGTTTTTAAAAAAAAATAATCTAGCCACAGTAAAACATAGCTCTTTTTTGAATAAAAGTTAGTTTGTTTTGTCTATAACTCCGTCAAAAATTGTTCAAATGAGTTAATTTTTTCATCATAGATAGTAGACAATTAGAACTATGTATGACAAAAGTTACAAGTCAGTTGTGTAATAGTTTGAGCCACAGTAGTGGTTTCAAGTGAGACACCAAGCTCTGGAGCAGCGAGAAACAGATGAAGTGCAACCGAACGCGGTCTGTTTGAGCTACGTCTTATCTGGTCGTGTACTGCAGCAAAAATACTACTCAGATCCGCTGTCACATTTTTGGGCATTCGATAGAAAGGTCTGCAAAAAATTGAGTCAGGACAGCGTGTTCAGCATCAAGAAACCGAAAATTGTTCGACTGATAAAATTCGGTTGAAGTATTCATTAGTCCGTAGAGAATTCGACGCTGATTCCATCTAAGTATGTATTGAACTCACCAATCAGCGACAAAGTGAAGAAGTACGCCTAAAAATTATGCAATAATTTCTTGAAAAACTCTCCTATTCGCAGTAGTACGTTTAACGTTTTTGCTCTCTAAACCTTATCTAGTACAGGTAAAGTACAGTTGGCAGCATTTTATCTATTATTCGTTTTTTTATCTCCTCACAAAAAATAAAGTTAGAAAATAGTAAAAAGAAAATGTCGGGTTTGAATTTGTTACATTTTAAAAACAAAAATTGCCCCAAGTTCGAAAAATATCTTTGTAAGGTGCAGCTAATTAAAAATTGCAGTAAACTTTTTTCTGACTTTATTATACATATTCTGATTCAACGCATCGAGCTGATCTCAAATATCGCCATCGCAACTCTTAAAAGCTCTTTCTTCATGGAGAAAAATGTGAAAAACTGTGAAGACCTAAAAAGCCTCAAAAACTGACCCCCATCATAAAAGTAGTTTTCTTAAAGTTGTATTGCAAGCTAGAAAATTCTAACTATACTTTGCTGATTCCGCGTCAAAAACTGATTTAGAAAAAGACTGTCTAGATCATTCCAACGGTATACCGTTGGAATGATCTAGACAGTCTTTTTCTAAATCAGTTTTTGACGCGGAATCAGCAAAGTATAGTTAGAATTTTCTAGCTTGCAATACAACTTTAAGAAAACTACTTTTATGATGGGGGTCAGTTTTTGAGGCTTTTTAGGTCTTCACAGTTTTTCACATTTTTCTCCATGAAGAAAGAGCTTTTAAGAGTTGCGATGGCGATATTTGAGATCAGCTCGATGCGTTGAATCAGAATATGTATAATAAAGTCAGAAAAAAGTTTACTGCAATTTTTAATTAGCTGCACCTTACAAAGATATTTTTCGAACTTGGGGCAATTTTTGTTTTTAAAATGTAACAAATTCAAACCCGACATTTTCTTTTTACTATTTTCTAACTTTATTTTTTGTGAGGAGATAAAAAAACGAATAATAGATAAAATGCTGCCAACTGTACTTTACCTGTACTAGATAAGGTTTAGAGAGCAAAAACGTTAAACGTACTACTGCGAATAGGAGAGTTTTTCAAGAAATTATTGCATAATTTTTAGGCGTACTTCTTCACTTTGTCGCTGATTGGTGAGTTCAATACATACTTAGATGGAATCAGCGTCGAATTCTCTACGGACTAATGAATACTTCAACCGAATTTTATCAGTCGAACAATTTTCGGTTTCTTGATGCTGAACACGCTGTCCTGACTCAATTTTTTGCAGACCTTTCTATCGAATGCCCAAAAATGTGACAGCGGATCTGAGTAGTATTTTTGCTGCAGTACACGACCAGATAAGACGTAGCTCAAACAGACCGCGTTCGGTTGCACTTCATCTGTTTCTCGCTGCTCCAGAGCTTGGTGTCTCACTTGAAACCACTACTGTGGCTCAAACTATTACACAACTGACTTGTAACTTTTGTCATACATAGTTCTAATTGTCTACTATCTATGATGAAAAAATTAACTCATTTGAACAATTTTTGACGGAGTTATAGACAAAACAAACTAACTTTTATTCAAAAAAGAGCTATGTTTTACTGTGGCTAGATTATTTTTTTTTAAAAACCTATGCAACTTGAAATTGAGAATGAATGCAAGTCTAAAAGTCAATTTAAATAAGCTACGTTTCTCTTGTGCAATGAAGAATAATACGTGTAATAGATGAATACAATATCTTAGCAACCATCATCAATTTGGAAAAAAAATAGACAATTTACAACTGGACTAAATCAATATAATTGCTAAGTATCACTTGTAGCAAATTTAAATCAAAGTTTGCTGATAATATTGCCGTTTGATGCGCGTGATGACGTTTCAGGTACCAATACAAATCCTGTACCACCATTCGAATAATCCACTTTTTGTATTGATAATCGTGGTGGTTGCTGCTTCAAATTTCCATCCGCAACACGTAATTGTGGTCGAAAATTTGGCATAATCTGCTGAAGGACAGACATTGTAGCTGAAAATTGTATGATACCATCCTCACCAACTTCTACATCTTCGACTTTTGATATGGAACCACGTACACCAGGTTCTGCAGCTTCCCAACTTTCGCCATGAGCTGTAGAAGATCAAATGTTAAAGAGTTAGATATGTATGTCATTTAAACTGTTGCAAGATAAGTTACGTTTTAAATACCTGTATGATCAAGTCCAAGTACTTCGTCTTCTCGGTCTAATCGAATACCAATCGTATACTTCATTGGTAGTAGAATACCAGCCGTACAGAGTCCCGCAAAAGCTATAATAAACGTACAAAAATTTATATGACAATAACAAAGTGTAGGCAAAATATCTTACCGATCGTCGTTAGAATTCCTGCTATTTGATACCACAATTGAATTGGTCGTCCGTAGAATGCACCATCTGCCCCACCCGAATTCACACGCGCTTGACAAAACAATCCTGTCACGAATGCACCCGCGATTCCTCCAATTCCATGAACGAACATACAATCCAATGCATCGTCAACTCCAATATATTTTTTCACTTGCAGTCCACTGTAGACAACCAAGGTACCAATAACACCAATGAGAAGTGCCCATCCAGGCTGAACAAATCCACATGCCGGAGTAATGGCTACTAATCCGACAATCGGACCAGCACAAGCACCGCTAATCGATATCGAACCGCGTATGGCATCAATGATCACCCATGTCATTAGACCGGCTGCTGCAGCAGCATTTGAATTCATCATTGCTAGAGCAGCCAATCCACTGGCATTACCGGCAGAACCTGCATTGAAACCCATCCAACCCACCTACAAAATAATTTGTATACTTTTCTCTTACCATTAACAAATCGTAAAAGAAAGGGCTTTATGAAAGAAAAAAACACAGAAAGCAGCAGCTTTCTTTTTTTACAGGTTAATGAGTAACCGGCCTGCCTTCTTCGTCTCAAACGCAGCGTCATACAAAGATTTGTCTTTTTAACAGACCCATCCCACCCAAGAAAAGACACGCAGAGGACACTCTCATACACTTTCTGCAGTGACCTATTTTTTACATACATACCCACAGAAGTGATGTGCCAAGTACTGTAAATGGTAGGTTATGTGCCTGACCATGTGAACCCACATCATATCGTTTTCCCAGTATTATACTCGCTACAAAACCCGAGATTCCGCTGGAGATGTGTACTACCGTACCACCTGCAAAATCTAAAGTACCCAATAGTTTTAGCCATCCATTATCACCCCATACCCAGTGTGCTAGTGGGTCATAGCAAACTGTTGTCCTACAATAAAACACTAAACATAAGTACCAGTAGGTGATTCGCAAGAATTGTTACTGTATATCTACCATACAAAGATAAATATCATATAGGGAATTAATTTCATTCGTCCGGCAACTGCGCCTAAAAAATAATGGCTTATTTAAAGAACAGCACGCTTTCTTTGTTGAAGAATAGAAGTACACCTACCACTGATCAAGGCCGGTGTGATGATAGCAAATGTACCTTGCAAAAACAAGAAAAAAAAGAAGTCTTTAATTTTTTATTAGTATCTTTTTAAAGGTCCATACCCTGGTATGAAGCAAATGTCAGCAAAGGATATGTTGGTGCATACACTAAAAAAAAGACGATTGAAAAAGTAACGCTAACTAGCAGTTCTTTCTTGCATAATGTTTCCTACGACTATCTACTTGCCTAAATTATCACCTTCTCCGAATAACATACACGCCCATTTAAATGATCCAAATCCTTTGCTAACTGCTGGCCTTTAAACAAACAAAAATATCGATCATTTTTCAATGTTTTCCGTATTCTTTATCCCCATCGACTTAGTACTTACCCGAATGCAAATGAAAATCCGAACAGCACCCATTGACAGAAGACAATTCCCATACATATGATTGATAGAAAAAGTTGATTTAATATATTTTTATTATGTACCATACCGCCGTAGAAAAATGCCAGAGCTGGTGTCATCATCAATACCAATGCAGTACTAACCATCATCCATGCATTATCACCCGTATTGTAAACTATGGTTATTGGTACGATGGTTGATGTTGAAGTGCTTGCAGTTAACACAGATAGATTTTGAACGGATTGTGCCATTTCTCTACTGTGTTAAATATTATTCGTCAACAGCAGAATGTCAATCTAACCTTTAACAGAATACATCTTTATTCAAATAGTCTTCAGAGTGACAAAAAACAACGTAATTATCTGTACAAGCTACACACAGCAATAAGACAAGGAAAGAGAAACGTGGTTTGATAAAGATGAGTAAGAGAACGATTTAATGCAATTATGAAAAATATATGTGTATGTGTGTATGGAGTTATTCACGTTTGATTAAACAAAGGACGAAGCTTCCCAAGCATGAAATTTCATAAGAAATAAGCTAGCTGTTCTTGCTGAAGAAGCTTCCCCATCTCCATTAGCTAGCTAAAAGAGTAAAATTTAGCAGATGCATCCAGCTGCTCTCTAAAAAAACGTATTTTAAAAAACCAAAAGGTTATTTCGTTCTGTCCACGAAACTCACTTTGATTTTGTGTCAGATGCCAAAAAACCAAAATTGGTATCCCGGTTGCTGCTAAACGGTACTCTACAAAACTAAAGGATTTTTCCTTTGGAAAAGGGTATTTCACCTTTGAGAATACCTTTAGAGCGTATTTTATTTCCATTAGGATCCCAAGAAGAGTTTAGTAGGTTACAAACGATTGGTATCCCAAAATACTAAAACAGTTTTTTCGTCAATACGAGATACCTTTTTCGAGAAATACCAAAACTGGTTCTGTAGGATGCCGAAAGGGTATTTTCATTCTTAAAATACTCTTTTGGTTCTATAGGATACGGATGATTTTTTAGAAATGCCCAGAAGGGTATTTTAAAGTAATGAAAAGGATATTACAAGATGCCAAATTGACTTTTGTGCTTTTTAAAAACCCTTTTGGTTTTTAAGATACCGATTCTTTACTATTATTTTCGACGCAGGTTTTTTACGCTTAGTTTTTATGCCTATTTTCATTACCAAATTACTTTTTTGCCATGAAGTAACCAAATGTGATGCACTTGTAAAGTTTTGGCAAAATTTATGGTATTAACTGGTCCTTAAAGATAGTCAGTGAAAGACTGAATAAAATACTCTATGAACAATCCTTATACATCATTTCAATAAGAAGAAACTATTTTTACAACAGACAAATTGACCTGAAACGCGGTTTCACGTATGTTTTAAGCACTTTTCTCGCCATATGCAAACGAGGATGCAACTTGTATCTGATATAGAAATACCCACTGAAAAACTGAATAAAATGTTTTTTTTCGAATTTTCTCGCCCAGAGTTTAGCTCCAAACTCAGAGTTGTCTAAAAATTCCGAGAGAAATTATTCAATGGTTTCAACATTGTTCAATGCAGTTTTCAACAGGGATTCCAAATATGATGTTGGTTTTTAGAAAAAATTGAAATTGATGGTGAAAACTGCGAAATATGAGTGCATTTCCTTGATTTTTCTCGTATTTAAATTATAATGGAGTGAGCTAATGGTATGTAGAGTTTGTTCACTCAAAATATTGTACAGCTTTCCAAGAGCTATTTTTCTATACTAAAGACTAGTTGCGTTCTCTCTTGCTTTTGGGAGAAAATGGGAAAATATGATCACTCAAGCATAGTCACTAGATAGGGAATGCTTGAAAATAAACCATTTCTCTTTAGTAATATGGTACGTAACTATGGTTCATATACCATTTTATTCAGTTTTTCAGTGGGTATTTTTCTACATCAAATACAAGTCGGATCATTGTTTTTATGTGGAGAAAAAAGTACAGAATATCGGTGATATTGTCTTTTTAAGTGCAATTTGTCTCTTGTAGAACCTTTCTTCATATTGAAATGATGTATAAGGATTGTTCATAGAGTATTTTATTCAGTCTTTCACTGCCTATCTTTTCATATCAAGATTTGTGGAAAACCTATACTGGATTTTTCAAAAATTTTCTTTTTTCTAAGAACGATGTTCTCTGATGGAATCTCAAAACAACCGAGGTTAAAAACATATTCTGAGCTCTTTTACCATAAGAATAACTGGGCAATGTGTGCAAATGTGTTTTCGACAAAAGTCCAGTCAAAGTAAGGCAAAAAAATGAGGGACCGTTTTCTGATCAAATCCTCTCCAAATAGTGCTGGAAAATCTGAAATATTGCCTGCTATTTGAAAAGACCCAGGTCAAAGATTCTCGACCGTATACTGTAGTATGTTGTCGTATAGGACTGTTTACGACAGTCGTAACCATGGACCTGAGGAAAAAGAGAAAATAACGTAAGTAATGTCCCTCCTTAGGAAAGACATATGATATTCGGAGAAAAAAGGAAGGAAAAATATGATATTCGGATATTTGGGGTGAGAACAGGACATTTTTAACGGTTTCGTTCGAGAAATTCAACCTTTTCAAACATACCTTCAAAATTCTTTTTTAAGTCTCAGTTAACCCTTGACAGCTGTTTAAGGTTTCAGTCGGATCCACTGTGCAGTTTTTTGTTTCTTACTCGGCAGTATTCATCTCCTTCCTAATCGTCAACTTTCTATCCATGCACACTAGCTTTATCAAATCTCGTGAATGAGTCTCACATGAATGTCTTTATGAAATATCAAAATTAGTTTTGTAGGATGCCGAACGGGTATTTTCATTCGGCGAAATGCTTATTTTCGTCATCAATCAGTTTTTTGCCATGAATTAACCAATTCATACCAGAAATTCTTCTCAAATAACTTTGTCATATAGAGAAAACATCTCTGAACAAAATGAGACGTCGTCGGGCCCTCTGTGATACTTTTTCATGAAGCACCATTCAATTTACGAAAGATCCAAACAGCAAGGCGTCTTATTTTGTTCAGAAATGTTTGCTCTATATGACGAAGTTATTTGCGAAGGATTTCTAGATCGAACAGAGGAACTTGGTTTTCTAAGATTTGGGTTTTCCGTGTCACTCGTCAAAAACAAGAATTATGGATTAACGATGAATTAAGAAGTGCGCAACAAATGACAAATCCAGATGAAGCGGATCACAGTAAGTACGCGCAGATGATACTCACAAAGAACTATATGATTTAAACATTAAAACTAAAAAGTTAAGAACACTGTTGAAAACGATAAATTAAATTGCACCTAAAAATCAATATTCCAACATGAAAGATAAGACAATTGCATCTTTAAACATTTTCTTTCTTTATTGGAATTTTCGATCTTTATGGTCATTTTCAACAATTATACGACAAAGTTTAATAATAGTAATGTAACAAACTGACGAGGGAACCTCTTGAACTTATAAATCGATTTTGAACTCAGACTACTGTTATATTGTAGATCTCAGTGAGTAGTGAAATACTCTAAGTTAGTTTGTGCCCGTGGTGCTATTGCTGAGTACTGGATTTTTAGTCAGTTTTTGCCTATAGAGCTTGGATTTCGAGCAAAATCCGACTTCCGAATTTTGATTTCAAACTTGCCGCACTTGTAGCCCACGGTAATAGTAGTACGACGGAAAAATATTTGATGCTAATGAATTTTCCTGCCTTGAGATATTGAGGCTCGAACATTTCACTAGAAGGTAAGGGTTAGGGTCAAATATTCGGGTCGTTTTTCGGGATTTCCTATCTCTTCTAGAGATCCGCACCGGCCAAAAACTTTTCGCCCGATTCGATGACGAATGTTTCCTCACCAAGTCCGGCTCTGACCGGCCGCTTTTAAAAGTTTTTTGATCCCACAGGTTTTTTTTCCTGTAGCTGCAATACTTTCGATGGCTAAGGGAAGCCATCAGAAATAAATCTGCGCATAGATATAGACGAATATCGTTCTTCTTCCTTTTTCTTTTGCTGAATGAAAGAAATCGGATAGATTTCTATACACAGAATAGAACAAATTTTCGTTTTTTTATTATTATTTACACAATTTAAAGCTGAACTGTATTCTTTCTGTTTATAAACATCGAAAAAAGTATGAAAAGAGAATGGAGAACGGAGTACGAATTATGAAATTTTTCCGCTGTTTAGAGAACGGGACTGAAAAGAGAACGGTTTTGAAAGATATTTTTTACCATTAACATTAAGATGGCCTCAAAGTGTTATAAAATATGCAACTCCAATTTCATGGATTATTTTTGAAACGATGTTCCTACATCAAATCCAATAATGAGTATTCGATAGATCGTATATCTTCAGCACCAAAAAAGCGTAATAGACCAGACAAATTTGGTTGCGCTCTGCTTTTTTGGAGTATAATATATATTTACACATTTTTTGTACAATATTTTTTCGCAGATGGTGCAAAATATATATAGATCATAATCCACTATTCGCACATAAGATCGTTCTCTTTTCATTCTTTTGAGCTGGGAATTCTAAATCGTTCACCTTTCGGCTTTTGCGTTTTTATAATTCTGACCGTTCTCCAATCATCTCGAATTCGACCATAAATTGGTAACAGTTCTAGTTTTAGCCCTAATTCCGTTCTCTAAAAGGTCCTTCTCCATAAATACCAGTTACACATATGTATGTATTTACATATTCGTTTCTTTTCATTCAAGCAAAAGCAAAAGTTTCCTGATTTTCTCACAAGTTAACTAGAACAGCCGTAATCAAAAAACTTTAATACCTGACAATCTTTGAATGTTATGGTGGTTCGAACTAATACTATTCTGCAATTCTTTAGCTCCAAAATTCTGACATTGTGAAATTCGTGGAATTGTAGATTGTCAGAATTTTCGGACTAAAAGAATTTCAGAACTTGAGAATTCTGGAATGCGTAAACTGCGTAAATTACAGAAATCGCGAATTTCAGAATGTCAAAATTTCGTAGCTAAAACAATTTCAGAATCATATTAGTTCAAAGCACTATAGCACTTGAAGATTGCCAAGTATTAAAGTCCGAGTCGACTACGCTACATTCGTTAAAAATCGAAAATACGGCAGTTTTTGATTATGACTACTCTAGTTAACTAGTGATCAAATCAGCAAAATCTCTAGTGCATCCTTTTGCTTTCATCGAAAAGAAAAAAATCTTGAGAATGCGCTGAAACTGATTATTTGCTTTGAAAACGGATATATAAATGAAAATTTT